AAAAAAAAAAAAAAGCCATCTCATATTACAGCAGGGTATTATAACAACATTATACTAATGTTCAAATTCACAATGAATATCAAGTTGCAATGCTCACCCCATTCAACTGCATAAATCACTGCTATAAAATGTCTGCATCAGTTAATGAAAAGAAAGCAGGAAGGATTTGACTATCAGTGGGGAGTACTTACTGGGTCTAAGTTTAGGTACATAATTTAAAGGGACAGCCGCCTTAAGCTTCCAGAGTAATTCAGACATAAGTAGGCTCTTCCCGAGGTGATTCAGAGCACCTAAATTAAAGTGCAATTTGATGAGATGGGTCAAACCAACCTCTAGTTTGCTGCTGCCGACAAGAACATCTCCCTTCCCATGTTTTGACTGTACCCTCTTGCCCCACATCTCCAGGACTGGAGGGTGGAAGGTGCTCTGCCCAAGAGCTCTGCTGATTTCAGACCAGACTGCTTAGGTGGAGCCTCAACAGATCAGGCAAGCATTTACTCTTTGCCAAGGAATGGAGCTGCATGCATTTCCACCTTCCAACTGCCAGAATGACAAGAAAACTTGAAAAATTTGTAAACTCTTGCAGAACTCCAAAGCAGAAATTGCCTTCTACAGTAAGATGATACTTAAAATACTGCACAGCCAAATAGTTTCAGAGAAATGAGCTACTTGCAAAACTGCATTGTTCTCCCCAATGACCAGCCATGGTTACAGTCTCTCTGCTGTGGATTATCTACCCTCCAACAAAAGCAGACACACACCTGAACTAATGTAGCAAAAGAAAATATAACTGGCATAAAAGGTGATGATATGGTACAGAGCAGACAACAAAGAATGAAGGCACAGTTTGTCCCAGTCACAATTTCTGCATAACAGTATTTTGTTATTATTACATAAGGTACATATTACTTGTACCTAAAAAAAAAAAAGACCGCTAATGTCTTCCTCCTTTCTAACAGGTGGTCACAGCTTACATACTGACTTTTATTGCTTTTTCACACATGGAAACACACTCTCTCATCTAATTCAAAATGACCACAGAAGGGCAAAGGTGAAGAACAGATAGCTTGGACAATATTAAAGTGCTCTAATCTCACTTAGTAAAGAATGGCAGACAAAACAGAGTTCTGGTGGGGGGAAAAAGAAATAAATTTATTTCACTGTGCAAATTACAAAGCAGCAAAAATGACAGCTACCAGTTTTGTGGCATGAATGATGCTCCAAAAGTATCACAAAAAGACTGTCAAACTTATAATAAAAAATAAAAGTAGTACTCTGCATATGACGTATGGTTTAAATTCATGTCCTGCTGTTTTAGTCATGAAATGGCCTGGGTTGAAAAGGACCATACAGATCATCTACTTCCAACCACCTTCTTCCCCACTTTAAGGGATGGGGCATCTACAACATCTCTGGGTAACTTGTTCCAGTGTCCCACCACCCTCACAGGACAGAAGTTCTTCCTAATATCTAATTTAAACCTACCCCCTCTCAGTTTGAAACCATTCACCCCTGTTCTGTTACTACATGCTCCTGTAAGAAGTGTCTCTCCATCTTTTTTGTAGGTTCCCTTCAGATTCTGGAAAGCCTTAATAAATAAAGAGAAGAAAATAAAGAGAGCAAAATGAGAAATGGTACGAGCATTTATCATGGAAACAATCTGCTTACTCATTATGGAAAGTCACAAATCTATCCCCAGGTACAGATGCAGACACAAGAGACACTCCAAAATACAAACACAGTAAAGCTGGTTTCACATCCTGTGATCACTTCTATGAAGGTTG